CCGCCCCCCTCCCGCCTCCCCCCAGCGCGCGTCTCCCCTTCCCCAATCGTGCTGCCCACCCACCCGCCGTCTCACCACGGTCGCCGCTCACACCGTGCCCCGAGAACGGCAGCGACGGGAGCAGCAAGGCCGACGGGTGGGAGGGGTTCAAAAGCGGCAACGCGCAGGGGAGGAGCGGGATGAGCGGGAGGGCCGCGCGGACGCTGCTGCTGGCGGCGTGTTGCGCGGGGCTGGACGCGCGGCACCTCCGCACGCACAGCCTCGCCGCCGACCCGCTCGACTCCGCCGCGGCCGACCAGCCGTCGCCCCTCTCCGCCGTCCCCCCCGCCCTCCCCTCCCCGTGCGCCGTGTCTCCCCCGCCCGTTCTGCAAGCACCCGGCAGTTTCCGCCGACAGCCCGGATGTTCCATCGAAGTGCCCCCGTCGCCCGCCGCCGAGCCGGAGCGCGCGAGTCCGGGGCGCAGGCTGCGCAAGCTGCTGTCGCCCGTGTACAGCCTCGGGGGCAGCTGGTTCGCCGTGCCGCGCCTCTCCTCCGCCGCCGCGCCGCCTCTCGCCAGCAGCGCGAGCCCGATGACGAACCGCGGGTGCGCGGGGCGCGAGTCGGGGGCGGAGATGAGGGGGCGCGACGAGAATTGGGGGAACGAGGACAGGGAAAACAAGGAGGGCGGAGAGGAGGAACGGCGGGAGCGAGAGGAAGGCGGAGACGGAGGCGAGGCGCAATTGAGTGCGCGCGGGAAGGAGAAAGGGGAACGGGACGAGGGCGAGAGTGAAGAGGAGGAGGAAGAGGAGGAGAGGGAAGGGGGAAGGGAGAGGGAGGGGCAGGACGGGCGCGAGTTGGCGCGCTCTCAGACGATGCGGTCGCTGCAGCGGTCGGCGTCGCGCCGAGGCCAGGCGGGCGGGGTGAAGGGCGCGGGGCAGCGCAGAGCGAGAGCGGCGGCGAGAGCGGAGAAGGGGGGCGCAAAGGTGTCGGCGGGACTGGCAATGGCGCGCAGCACGAGCTTCCGCGTGTACATCGAGACGGGGAAGGGCCCGGCGGGCGGCAAGGGCCGGCAGGAGGACGGCGGGGAGGGTGGCCGCCTTTCGCGGCAGAACAGCTCCGTGGGGCGCAAGCCGGCGCAGGAGGAGCGCGGCGTGCGGTACGTGCGGCAGGCCAGTCAGCGGGAGCGGGGGGGGGAGGCGCAAGGGCGAGGGGATGAGAACGAGGGGCGGCGGGATCAGAATGGCGGAGCGGGAGTGGGGGAGGAGGAGGAACCGGGATCGTTCCGGCGCGCGTACAGCGCTCCGAACCGCGAGCGATCGCTGGAGCGCAGCAAGAGCATGCGGCGCGCGCAGGAAGGGGACGAAACAGACGCGGGGAATGGACGACGCGAGGACAACGCGGGGGGAGCGGTTTCGGGAGCAGAGGCGGGGGCTGGAGTAAGGGTAAGAGGCAGCGAGCGGGGCGAAGAGCGCAGCGGCGACCGGCGCGGGCGGGACGAGCAGGGCGAGCTTCAGCGGTCGCGCACCCTGCCCTCCAAACCCGCCCGCAGTGGGGGGGGGCGGGAGCAAGCGGCGGAGAAGGGAGAGGCGGAGTGGGACAGTGAAGCACAGCGAGAGGCGGAGAGGGCGGAGATGGAGGAAAGGGCGGAGCGTTTGCGGCGGCAGCTGCAGCAGCAGAAGCAGCGGCTGCAGCGGCAGAGCAGCGGGCAGCAGCAAGCGGCGCGCAGCGGCACGGACGAGCAGGCGGCGGGGCTGGCGAAGCGCGGCAAAGAGCTGCTGCGGCTGGCATCGCTGCCGCGGCAGCAGCAGCTCGATGCGCAGGGAGCGCCGGCGCAGGCGGGAGGCGCGAGGCGGGGGGCGAAGCAGGCGGTGTCGGGGGCGACCCCCAGGCTGCGGCGCACGGGCAGAGACGGCAGCTTCCGCGTGTACCTCGACCTCAGCCCGCGCTCCCCCCCCGCGCGCGCCGCTGCCGCCGCTGAAGACAACGCGTCCGCGACGCAGGGGATGCGCCGCGCCGCGACGCACTCGGGAGCGTCGGAGCAGACGCGGGCTGGCGACGGTGGCGGCGTGGCGGCGAGCGAGAGGCAGCTGGACCGCGCGGCGAGCATGCACGAGGGGGGGATGCAGGCGCAGGCGGGCAGGCAGGCGCAGATGCGGCGCGCCGTGACGCACACGGGGGCCGCGGAGGAGCGGGTGATGGAGGAAAGCGGCGCGGGGGCAGCGGAGAGGAGGAAGGCGGAAGGAAGCAGCAGTATGGTGCGGCGGGCGGAGGCGGAAGGCAGGGCGGAGGAGGGGGAAGGCAGGGCAGAGGCGTTGCGGAAGGGCGCGGGGGTGGTGAGCGGCGAGAGGGAGCGACTGGCTGCTGCTGCTGCTGCTGCGAGGCGCCGTGTGCTCGTTATTGACATCCCCGATAAGGGAGACCTCTACCCCGCCCCGCTCACCGCCCCTGCCTGCACCTTAGATCCCTCCCCCACTGCCGCCGCAACCCCCCCAATCGCTGCGCCCTCCTCTGCGCGTGCTGCTCCCCGCGCGGCCCCCAGCGGGCAGGCAGGCAGCCGGGCGTTCCCTGGGGGCAGCAGGCAGCGGGCCGTGGCAGGGGGGCAGGAGCGACGGGCAGGCAAGGCGGCAGTAGCAGGGACGTCACCCACGTCAGCAAATGTCATGCCCACTGCAGCTTTGTTCACTCCTACGTCACCTATGATCACACCCACGTCAGCTGTAGTCACGCCCACGTCAGCAGTGATCACTCCATCCTCAAGGGGCAGCAATAAGCCGTCGCCCCGCCCCGCCACACTGCATGCGCCAGGCGGCCCCGCCCCTTCCCCTGCGCGCGCCCTGCTGGTTCCCCCTAGCCTTACAGCCCCCAGCGGCCCCCCTGCTGCTGCCCCCCCCCGCGCATCCAGCCAGCGCGGTCGCTGCCGCCCATCCGCGAGGGCGTGGCGCTGCAGGGGCTGCTGCACGCAAGCCAACGCGCCGCCAGGGGACCCGCCTTCCCCCCCTCCGCCTCCGCCCCGCTGGGGGACGAGCGGATGGGGGCATGGGTAGGAGCGGGTGGGGGTCAGGAAGAGGTGGGGATGCAGTGGCAGGGGGAGCAGGCACAGGTGGGGCAGCGGCAGCAGTGGCAACAGCAGGGTGTGCGGGTGCAGCAAGGGTGGGAGCAAGAGGCAGTGGGCGGTGGCGAGCAGGGTTGGGAGCAATGGGCCGTGGTGCAACCCCATGCCCAGCTGCAGCAGCAGGGAGAGCTCTCTTACTACCCTGACCCCCACGATCAGCTGTATCGGCATCAGCAGCAGCAGCAACAGTTTTACCAGCCAAATCAGCAAGCAGGTTTCAACTCTCAGCGCTGGCAGCAGCAGCAGCAGATGCACGCTCAACAAAGGGTGGGTGTGGAAAGGCAGGAGTGGAGCGAGATGCAGTCACCGCAACCCTCGCTTGCTCACTCCCACTCCTTCAACCCCCAGCCACACCCACAGCAGCGGCAGCAGCAGCAGTGGCAGCAGCAGCAGCAGGGAGAGTGGTTGCAACAGGGACAGCCAAAGCGGGTGTCATTCAGGCAGGGCGACGAGCCTGCCTCCCATCTCGTGTCGCAGCAGCTGCCCCGTGTCGGCGCCACCCCCCACCACGCACCACCGCAGCAGCAGGCCAGCAACATGAGAGTAGCCGCTCACAGCCAGCAGCGGCCCCTGCACGGCCCGCAGGCAGCCTCGGCACGTGCTCAGTCTGTTGTGACCGCCAGCAGCCCGCGTGGAGGCGACGCGTCGCTCACCCGCCTGCTCTCCTGGAATGCCAGCTCCAACTCCTTTGCTGCCGCCGTCCACGCCTGACCCCCGTGACCGTTGTGCCGGCGTGGTGCGTTTCAAGATAGTAATTTCCCCTAAAATATTTGCCCAAGGTCCATGGTACAGCCATTGTGGAGTGGGGAGGGTCTGCATGATTGATTTATTATTATTAGGAATTATTATTATTATTGTTGTTGATACTGTCCTGTGCAAATGGGTTTAGGATACTGTCCTAAGTCAGTGAAATGAAGTGTTTAGTGAAGAATATTTCGGACATTCATGTTTACCATTGATAATTTCAATTGCCGTATGTTGTTCTGGTTCCTGGGTATTCTGTTTGGCCAAAGCGGTTAAGTACGATGCGGTACAATCTAGAACGGTTCTTAAGCTTCACAGCTTTGCCAAAGCCCGACCCGGAATCAGCGGCAGTCAAGGACAAACGACACCAGCACCTGGTTTCCCGGCCCCGCCATTCGATCAGGTGGGCCCTGCTGTTCGGTCTGCCCTGCTCTGTTGCCACTGACTAACGGTTGCATGCATGACGCCATGTCCTCGCACATGAGGAGACGGAAATGTACGGGCCAAATAGGTGTACAGTGGTCACTTGAAACGGGTTACCAGCACAGAGACGCCTGGGCCAGGGTTATGTTCAGGCTAGGTCCCGCCGCCTAACTAAAGACTGCCCTGCGGTTCGTCTTGGAATGGAAATTAAGTAATCTTGGCCGAAGTCCTCGTGAGTGACAGTTGGTTTTGCAGCTTGGAACAGCTGTGTCTGATAAGTGCTGGTAGTACCAAACCAAAACAAGGGTGACTGGAATGAAAAACTGCTACCTGGAGCTCAGGTTTTCTTCTGGCAGAGAAGCACTCCTGCCCTACACCTGATGCCTGTTTGAGCCCCTCCCGGTTGCCTTACGAGAAAGGCTGAACAGGTGAGGTGGGGAAGGTGAAAGCGACAAACCATGATCAGCGGTAGCACACGTATGCAGGCAAGCAGGCGGGGCGCAGGATGATCAGTCACTGCATTTCTCTCCGCCCACAGCTGCGCAACTCGCCCTGACCAGAGCCACTTTCACCTGTCTGGAGCATTCTCGTGATGCTTTTGAGCACTTGCGTAGATAGAAACTACATTACAGAATCACGCAAGTGCTTTGGATGTGTTCTTTAGAACGTGAGTTCCGCTTGAGAGTCGACGCATTTGCTGTCTGAACCACGATTTTCCACGGCTGGCCGTCGCCTCGCCACAATGAAGGCTTGGAGCTGGCAGGACTCGCTTCGCCAAGCGGCCACCATCCGCACGCTGCCGCACGCGTGGAAGGACCACCTCCCTCCGCAACAGCAGCAGCTCGACGCGCAACTACCGCCGGCATCAGCAGCCTCTTTTGAAAAGCTCCTGAATGCTTGCAACAGCAGCCCTGCGTTCTCGTCTCGTCTTGCTCCCCTCGACGATGTCGCATGCGCGTCGCTGCCCGCGCTCGAACCACTGCCACGAGGCGCGGAATTGGTGTCGGTAAGGGCAAGTTCCGACCAATTCTCCCCAGCTTCCTCGCTCCGCCTGTCAGCGGCGCACTTCCAGCCTCCAGTGCCCTCCCCCGCGGGCGACGCACCTGGGGCTGAATCCATGAAAACGGACGAGGCGCAGGAGGGGCAGAGGTGCGAGTGGGAGGGGGGATGTTGCGAGGCGGACGAGGTGATGTCGCCGCGGAGCAGCACAGGCAGCTGCTGCGACCCCGACGACCTCGACTCGCTGCTGGAAGCACCGCACGCCTTCGGTCAGCTCGCGTGGGAATCTGAAATTCATTCCCAATCGTCTCATTCTCGCAGCAGCTCCTGCGATCTCGCTCTGCCACCCGATTATTCGCCGTCCGCCACTTGCGACTCGCGCCTCCCCTTGGAACTGCTCGAATCAGCTAGCTCGAGCTTCACGGCGAACCCTCATTTCCAACTGAGCTCCCAATGCGTGATTGACGGCGAGAGGATTCCCGAGATGGTGTTGTGGTTACTCCAACAAGGCTCGGGTCATGAAGACGACATGATGGCGCAACTGCAGCAGGTCGCGGCGGTGCTGGCGGTATTAGAGGCTCGGGAGGGCGTGGTGCACGGCGAAAGGGGTTCGGGTGTAGAGGTGGACGAACAGCTGAGCAATGCAATCCGGCAAGTGTTGCTGATGCAGGCAGCCTGCTAGCCCACTCCGGTCTGCACTAGCGGGGTATTATTCTATTGATTTGTTTGTTCGTTCTGTATATTGTAGCACAGTCGAGGTGCCCATGACTTCTAGCTCTGTAAAAAGAGATGTTGCCAAAGCAACTGTGCTTCCCACCTCACTGGTGGTAGCTAGTTTTAGCTGATTTGATTCTTTTTACAGTGCACTGGTTTTTCCATACCTGCCTTGTACCAATCTCCATCCGTGCCCACCCTAGTTGATAGTAAGTTGGATGCCCATGGATGGAATAATAGAACCACCTTGTCCTCATCGCTTACCTCCTCGATCCGTGAGATCTTATTCTCATTAGATGGGAAAGTTATTGTTGAGGATCTCGCGGAGGGTCTCCACTAAGGCGAGTGCAATCCTCGTTAGTTTGCTACATGAATAAGAACCAAACATATGTTTGTACTAACCTTGTTGTAGTCTATAATCTGTACAGTAAGGAGAATAGCAAGCTGTTGTACCTTTAGCTCATATGTGGACACAGAGTTCCAGCCGTACCTGGCCAGGTCCGCAACCTGGCATAGTGCCCCACCTGGCGATCGGTTTCGTGTCATGACTATGACCCATGTGACTTGGTCACCACGTAGTCCACGTTTGCTGTGCTTCCTAACCACCAGATCCATGCCCTCGCAACCACACATGTAATTCGGTATGATATCTGTGACCTGAGGCCAAATGTCTCGATTCGACGAATGGGGTCAGCTTGGAAGGTTTGTGCTGGTTCGGCTGCCAAACGTAACCAATCAGCTACACCACCGAGGCTGCCATGTTGCATGAACGTGACGGCAGGCAGGCAATCGCCATGCCCGCGGTGGTCAGGCTGGGAGGGAGTGAAACAAAACGGAACGGAAGCCTACTTTCGCACTGCAAACGGAAATCTTGGCGAAGTCACGTCGATGCCGCTCGCCACAATCTGACGATGCGCATCCCCTCGCGAACACGGCGAAACCCCGCAGAACCGCGTGAGTCGGGAATTCGGTTTGCAGACGCGTAAGGTTTGGCTTGACTTGGGGCTGGGGGTGCGGAACCTGACTGACTGGGGTCTTGGATTTCACTCACACCGTCAGCTCTGGCCGTGGGGGGAAGAGGGGAGGCGAGGCCTCGTGGCTTCCCTGCAGCTTTTGCGCCAAGCGAACGTCGAGAAACGCCCAGGCAGGCAGGCACGGCCACAATCGATAAAACCCTCCCCTCGCTTCGCCGTTTCATTACCGTCTTCGTTCAACCAAACAGATACCAACGACTTTTCCATTGAAGTTATCCTTCTATCCCCGTTACTCAAGCTTGCAGCTTATTTTCCTTTTGCTGTGGTAAGCTTTCACTCATTCAAGCGTTTTACCCAAAGAGTTGCCGCATTTCTTCGCAGTACCTTCGATAGCCTGACAACCATGGTCATGACTAAAGCCCTGCCTCAGAATTCAGAGTCGATGGTCTCAGCTGGCCTCACAGATCTCCAAAAGAAGGAGCTCACGGATGCGTTTAGGAGAATCGACAAGGACGGCGATGGCGTTATCACGGCGGACGAGCTCGCCTCCGCGCTGAACCTCATCGGCGTCTCGGCGTCGGAAGATGTAGTATCGTCTATGATGCGAGAAGGGGATTTCGACGGTAACGGTAGCGTCAACTTGGAGGAGTTTCTAGCGCTGAACGCCATGGCGGAACGCCTAGGGGGCGACGTGTCGCGGTCGGTGCTGAAGGACGTGTTTCAGGTGTTCGACGTGGACCACAACGGCATGATCTCCGCCGACGAGCTCTTCCGCGTCATGGCGAATGTCGAGGGCGGCGGCGTGACGCTAGACGAGTGCAAGCGGATGATCAGCAGCGTCGACATGGACGGCGATGGGTTCGTCGACTTCCCCGAGTTCGAGCGGATGATGCAGGCGCAGAACGTCGTCAGGCACGTCGCCTGCTGAGATCTGCTTTCATCCAATAAGGAGCCTGGGCCCACACGGGTCCAGGCGCACGGCGCTTATCATAAGCTGCTGCCGTCGAGTCCCTTCGATGCGGCCCCAGCTTGCAAGGGTTCTCGAGCAGGAGGCATGTGGCACTTGCGTCGTTCATTCTCCTTCTGTTAATTTGTATGTAGGTCATATGCGGTGTATCCAAGTGTGTCAGTTCCGTCAATACTGCTGCATTAGCAGCATTAGCGACTTCCGTAGGTCATTCACTCACCGAGCATTAGGCAATGTCTGAGCGATGCGTGATGTATGTTGTGGCAAGTTATGTTGATGTAAAGGTTGGCTTTCCTCTATGATCAATGTCACATGATGTTCTGTCCATTGGCCGTGTTCTCCGAAAGCTTGTAATACGGCAATCACGCTTGGAGGGGAGGGGAGAATACCCTTGCTAAACATCCAGCCAGAAAACTAGGGTAGTGCGACTGAGAAGGGAGCTGGGCTGACGATGGCCAGGCGATGCAATTATTGCAGCCTCGAGCGCCCTCACCCTGTCAGTTCGTGGCAAGTAGTTGCAGTCTAGCTCTTTGTAAACAAGAATATACTGAAGGAGCAGCAGGAGAAAGCCTCCAGTTTAATCTTGTCCAGAGGTACCGTAGGTATCACTATTGACTGCATATGCGATAGTGCTTATTGTGCAACACTGCCTGCAGGAAATTTGGTATTCTCATTGCACAACCGTGGGAAACAAAACAGCAGCATGCGCCATCTAACCACATTTCACTGTCCCCCTGTTTACCGCAGCCCATGCTGCGTGCTCCATCGTGTCGCTTATGCCCCAATTTGGGCATGAGCCTTGTTAAGAATAACTCCCTCGTACTTGACTTGGAACCACTTCATCGCATCCTCCTTGGTCACGCGGTGCTGAATGCCCACGCGGCACTTGGCCCGCCGTCGGCGCGACACGCGGTAGCCGGGGCGCTCGAGCACAACAAAGAAGTCCATTCCGTAAATGCCAGTGGAAGGGTCGTACCTGTATTGACGCACATGGCAACACGGCAACGGGGTTGGTGAAAATGGTGTCGCAAGAGGGCTGCTAAGTGTGGCTCTCAAATAAATGTGCTCGTAACAACTTGGTTCCCGAGTCCATGCGCTCCTCACTACCCACTCTATTCTCAAAACTCTTATGTGCTCCTCAATACTCACTCGTATCAGCAAGACTCTCTATATCACAGGTCCATGTGCTCCTGAATACTCACTTGATTCCCAGGTCAATGTGCTCCTGAATTCCAAACCCAAAGCAGCCAGTGGCGCTGAAGTTGCGGCGAAGCAACTCAAACTCCTTCACCTGCTCTCAATAACCATGCCAGCCATGCAAGCGGTTTAGGGAAAAACAGGAGCACCCCAGAGCGTTAACGTGCATGTATGGCACGATCGAGTGCAACTGAGTGATACAGCAGGCACGCCCGACGTCTGAAAAAGATTCGTGCCATGCAGCCACGAGCAAACCCTAAATGACAATATGATGCACCATGACCATCCGCACTACTAACAACAGCTGCAACAGCGTACAGCCATAGAGCGGGAATGAGGCTCATTCTGGGATCTTTATAAAGCCCACCTTGCGGAACCCCACCTCGAGATCTCACCTTGAGGCCGCTCTCAATGAGCTCACCTTGAGGCCGCTCTCAATGAGCTGCAGCGCCTTCTCGCCGCGCACTGTGACGTAGCACGCGATCTTCTCGTTACGCCGAATGCCGAACGACCGCACCGTGTAGCGCGCTGCAGCGGGGCGATGGGCGAGGGGCGAGGGACGAGGAGCGAGGAGAGAGGGGTGAGAGGCGAGAGGCGAGAAGAGGAAAGAGAAGAGAGTGGAAGAGAGAAAGACGGGGTTGAGAGGGCGAGGTGAAGAACACTCTCGGCTCAGATGACACGAGCACGAACCAATTGAAGTGACCACCAGCTGGCGAAACGACGAACAATGGCAGGTGAGGCGACGCAGCAATCGATCAACGCAAACACGGGAAGCAGGGACTAGCGTAAGAGACACGGGGGCTGGGGTAGCAGGCGGAAGGGGGTGGGGGAGAGATAACGAGGCGAGGGGAGATCAAGAGGAGGAATGGACGCAAGAGCGAGTGCGAGAGAGCAAGGGCAAGAGGTTGGTGGGGGACGGCGAAAGCAGCGGGACTGACCCTTGGAGAAGACGGGCACTTGACCGCTCAGCTGCTCCAACACCTGCCCACGCTCGCGGAACAAGTGGCGCAGGGGGGAGAGGGGCCACGGGGAGAATGAGGAGCAGGAGAGAGAGAAGAGGACGGCGCAGACGGGGCCGGAGGGGGGCATAAAGGCAAGGGAAAGGAATGGGTGCACGTGTGGGCGACAGGCGAACGAGCAACAGCGGCGAAAGCGGGTTGCGACGCAGTAGATCGACGGGCGCCAGAATGGCCTAGCGGACACGCGACGGACGCCCGCCGAGAGCAGACGACGAGCGGTAAGGGGTCGACGAGGGCGCATTGCTATGCTTCCAAGGGAATTTGGCACCGGCGCTCTAGATGGCGACGGAACCCTAAGTCACCCAAACCCCGATATCGCTCGACACGGAAGAGCAGTGTTCTAGAAAAACTTGTCAGGCGGGCTTCTGACATCCGTTTGACGCCATCCATCCCTGTACCCCGCAGTACGGGTCGCCTTCCCTCTGGCTAATATGCTCCCCCTCTCCAGCTGGTTTGCATTCCCTCAGCCTCCTGCGCTTCCCCTCAGTGCCATAGCCTTTCAACGGCCTCTGCCGTTTCTGCAGCCGTACCGCCCCGCCAGGCAAACAACGCTTCCCCCCACCCCCAACCCAACCTCCCTCAACCCACAGACCCCCCCCCCCCCCCCACCCCCCCCCCCCACAGCTGATTCATCGACCGGTTTCATCTGCTCCATCAACCTGCTCCCATCGTTCGAACGGGTACCGCAGCCACGCACCAACAATCGCCGACGCGCCTCGACTATCACCTCAACGGGTACCCCCCGACCCTCGGCATCAATGAGCTAGTGCGAGAGAAACCAGCGATCCAGTCTGCGCGGTACAGAGAGATGACGTCTCGCCAAAGCCGAAAACTGTTATGACCTGCTTCGCGCGGTCCAATTGTGGCAGCGCCCGCTACGCAAGACGAAGAACCGAGACTAACTGAACCCGTCCCTGCAGTCCGTTGCGCGCACCGCACCTAGGCGCGCGAGGCTGACTGAAAGATTTGAATTGCGAAGACTGCTCTACAGAACCGTAGGCCGGGTGCGTGGACTAAAGCGCTAGTTGTCCCGGCCGCGAAAGGTTGCCAACCCCGCCTCGGCAGCGCGCACGATGCAACTATTCCCACTTCGGCAGCGCGCAAGAGGCGACTACATCCCACCTTGGCAGCGCGAGTGAGGCGATCGCCGCTCTCTCCGACGCAAATGTTGAGCACGAGCTTCTGCACCTTGATCTCCCTCATCGGGTTGCTTGCCTTCTTCTCCGACGCCTGCCCATGCACCCGCACGCGCACCCGCACGCCCATTCACACCCGCACGCGCATTCACACCCCCACGCGCAGCCGCACGCACACGCGCATGCACCCCGCGCAACTCATGCCATGCAAAGCCGCCCAGGATCCCTCACACCATGTACACACGGAAGCACACCATCCGTTCCGCGCACGCGCACACGAAGCAAGCGCACAGTACGCACAACCCACGCGCAAACGCGCACAAGACCCAAGCGAGAACCCCGAAATGCGACACGAGGGGGAATGGAGAAGTGCGGCGGTTGGTGGTCTGACGGATGGCGCACAGCGGCAACGGAACGATAAAACTCTTCGGAGGCGAATCCCTGAATTTCACCAGATAACACACCTAAGCCTAACGCTTTCCCGATAAATTCTCAGATCGACCTGTAGCGAAACGCCGAAATTCTCTTTGAAAAATATAAAGCCTGGTCATGGCGCAACGCAACCCAAGAAACCTAATCGCGCGCTTACCATGGTGAAGGTATGGGGTGTCTCCTACAACAAGGGGTATTCCGGGAGGAGGGAAAAGAGCGAGGGAAGGGAGGTGAGGGAAGAAGAAGGGCAGTGAGGGATGGAAAGGTCGGGTGAGGCGAGGATGGCGAGGTGAGGCGAAGAGCGAAAGCTAGGGGAGGCGAGGCGGGGAGCGCAAGGGGGGCAAAGCCAAGCCCAAAGGAGAAAGGGTGGCAGCGAAAGGGACGCGGGTGGTAGACCACCCGAACCGCATGACTAGCGAACCTCGATTATGTCGGACCCGACAGGGCTACAAATGTGAATCAAGAGACAACTTCATTAGACTACAAGGCTACGAATCAACAAAGCTCTCACAAAGGCTACCATCCACTCAGTACATACCATACGCATGGGGCACATCAATAGTACGAGCTTGTTGTGAGCATGGTAGATTGAAATCTACAACTATATACGCCTTTCTGCATATTGAGAAACAATCAATCTAGTCATTTGAGCATAGTGCCCAAAAGCACTTGCTATTTTCATGAAAGCTCTACACCCCCTTATTCCAGCTTCCCTTGCTCCAATTCATCTTCCTCCATTCCCTCCTCTGCCTCCCCTGCTGCTGTTGCAACTGTCTTCGTGAGCCCCACCAGTTCATCATCCTCATCAGGAGCATCCTCGGAATAAGCGTACCTGAGAAGAAAACAGAAAAGAAGTGAACACACACGGAACTTCAGTGAACAAGGCTACAAGAATCAGCAGGACAGACCGCTTGACCAACATGCGATAGATGTGACTGCACACAAGGACATCACCAACCGGCAACAGCATGAGAGAGGCATGGCATCACGTTACCTGGTGGAGGCCTGGGAGGGCGCACCTGGTGGAGGCCTGGGAGGGCGTGACGTCACCTGGTGGAGGCCTGGCATGGCGTGACGTCACCTGGTGGAGGCCTGGGAGGGCGCCCAGAGGATGCAGATGACGCAGAGCAGGGAGAAGGTGAGCACGTGCCAGAAGCACCCCGTGATCCAATCCGCC